GCCTTCACCTTAAAAAACTAGAAAAGGAAGAACAAATGAGGCCTAAAGTCAGCAGAAGGAAAGAAATAATCAAAATTAGAGCAGAAATAAATGAAATTGAAAACAACAACAAAAAAACAATAGAAAAAATAAATGCAACAAAGAGCTGGTTCTTTGAGAAGGTTAATAAAATTGACAAAGCCCTATCTAGACTCACTAAAGAAAAGAGAGAAAGGACAAAAATAAACAAAATCGGGGATGAAAGAGGGGAAATTACGACAGATACTGCAGAAATAAAAAAGATCATACAAGAATACTATGAAAAAGTATATAACACCAAATTTAATAGAAGAAATGGACCAGTACTTATAAAAATACAATCTTCCTAGACTGAATCAAGATCTGGAAAATCTAAATAGACCGATCAGCAGTATGGAAATTGAAACAATCATCAAAAACCTACCAACAAACACCTACCAAAAAGTAAAAGTCCAGGACCAGATGGCTTCACTAGTAAATTCTCCTAAACATTCAAAGAAGATTTAATACCTATTCTCCTCAAATTCTACCAAAAAATTGAAGAGGAAGCAATATTTCCCAACTCATTTTATAGGGCCAATATATACTGCTACCAAAACCTGGCAAAGATAACACAAAAAAAGAAAACTACAGACCAATATCTCTCATGAACACAGATGCAAAAATCCTAAATAAGATACTAGTGAACCGAATACAGCAACATATTAAAAAGATTATACACCACGATCAAGTGGGCTTCATCCCAGGGGCACAGGGATGGTTCAACATACGCAAACTGATCAATGTGATCTAACAAATAAACAAATTAAAAAATAAGAATCATATGATTATATTAATAGATGCAGAAAAAGCCTTCGATGAGACAACATCCATTTATGATCAAAATGTTTAACAAAACATTTAACATAATAAAGGCCATTTATAACACTCAGTCAGCATTATACTTAAGGGTGAAAAACTAAAAACCTTCCTTCTAAGATCAGGAACAAGGCAAGGCCATCCACTATCACCAGTTATTCAATAAAACATTGCAGGTCCTAGTGAGTACAATCAGGCAAGAGAAAGATATAAAAGGCATATAAATAGGAAATGAAGAAGTCAAACTGTCACTATTTGCCGATGATATGATTCTAGGCCTAGGTGCACGCTATATGGAGTTCAGATAGAAAGACGAAAAAAAAATAGTCTTCATGTCTGTGCTAAAGAAGGCAACTTCCAGAACATTAGAAAATTTGCAGATATTACAGATGGTATAAAGAACAGTAGAAAAGAAGTTTTTAAAATGAAAAAACTCAGGTAAGTTTCCTGAAAAATACAATGAAATATTTAAGAATTAATTCAGTAAACCAATGCAGGCATCGATGGTTAGAGACAGGGTGAGTATTATTAGAAAAGAACAGTTAAAGGAAGAAGCAGAAATGTAGTAAAACTAACAAAAAAACTCAACATATTATGGACAGAAAACATAACACATTCTGTAGAAAAAACAATAACTCATATAAGTATGAAAAATCAATTTGCTATGTCTGAAATAAGCTTGCACAACAGCACACACAAGGAATGAGAATCATGGCATGAAGGACAGTTCAGTCAGTAGCCTCAAGGACAAGAGGCTGAGAACTTGGACAATGTTCTCCCAGAAGAAATTCTACCCTGATTAGTACGTGTGTGCATGTGGTCCATGTGATCTCAGTGTTCCAGAGAGATGCTTCCTGACACTCCGCAACTGGAAACAAACTGAAAACACTTATCTGTCCAGCTGTCATAACACTTTCTATCTCAGTGTCCTGGTACATGCTGATCACTCTACCGGGCAGCTCTAATAGCTGCTTCTGTGCATAGTGGGATAATATTGCAACACAGAGTCAAAGAATCTCTGTCAAGCATTTTCTGGGACCAAGGACACTCATTTCATACAAGAGCCCACCAAGAGATGTCCATATCATAAAGGTGTATGACACCAGCAAGACTGTGAACAATCAGACCCCAACAATGTGTAGTTCACGGGCAAGTTTCAGAGGCAAACCATGCAAACTACAGAGAACATGAAATCCAGAAGAGTCTATAGTCCCAGATGAGGTAGCGTGGTGCAGAGAGATAGAAGAATACAAGGAATGGGGTCACACATGGCAGAATCGTGAAGGGACTGTGAGTGCCACCACAGACACCATGCTACGAGCATGGAAGACTGAAATGTGCTCCCCGTGTAGGACTGGGGACTGAAGAGATGCTCTCTTCTGTCCACTGTCTCTAGAGATTTCGTAGTAACAGTTACAAAAGATTCTAACCACCTCCCTGTGACACACACCTCTGAAGTGTAAAGCATGGGCATGCAGAAAAAATGGCTGAGGGACCGGAACAGGCGGACAGGACAGGGGAGAGCCTTACACAGTTCCTGGGGTGCCAGATGGAATGGACAGAAAGACAGTGCGTCCTCTCTTCTGATAAGACCTTCCAATCACAAGAAATGGGAAAGGGATTGGGAAGGGTCCAAGAGGAAGGACAGCAAGGCCTCAGCTCTGCTCTGTATGGACTGAGAACCGAGCATCCAATGGAACCCAGTCCAGGAGAGACCAGGAGGACACAGGCCATGCCACACAGCCAGCCCCATGCTCCTCTAGTTGGAGAACCAAAGACTTTACAAAGGCCACAGAACAGAGTGTTGGGACCATGATAAAGACTCTGCCTGAGTCTCTGTTGAACTGCAGCCCCACTGAGGGTGAAAAAATAAATTTTACACCTTGAAGGACAAAGTGATAAGTTGGAAAGAAAAATTTCCTTTGATGGTTCTCCATAAATAAACTTCTGTCTGAACACAGAACTTTCTCGCTTCAGGCGAGTTTACAAACACGACGAAGGCTGCGGCCTCCTCTCTCCCTGAGCTCTTACCTGTGTTCACACCTTTGATACGTTCCCACTGATTTGGTTTTTGTGCTATGTTCGACTCGCTCTCCAGAGTCCAGGGTGCTTTCCCTTGCTCCAAAATGGAGACAATATACAGATCAGAAACAGAAATTCCTGCACATAAGAAGAAAGCAGCATGAAGACCTGTAGTTCTGCCAGAATCCCCGATATCTGGTCAACTGAGGAATGAGAATAATACAGATAGCTCGAGAAACATAATTCCTGCATCCATCAACTCCTCGTCTCCTTCTGCACAGAGAGATCAGTGTCATAAGCAGATAGCGAGCTCTCTTATAGAAACTAATCAATTCATGGGGATAAAAAAGAAAAAATTAGATATTTTAATATCTTTAAGCCCTAATACCATAGGGCTTTATAAATATTTGAGCTTTGGAACAACCCTTTATGTAATACAATGTGGGCAGATCATTGAAGAAAGGGTGAGGTTAAAATCCTGATGCCACCTTATAAATCCTTTTTATGTCTCAGTAACAAAGCGTCAATCTCAGTCACCCAAAGCAGGGGCTTCCAAGAAGCACCTAAGGGAAGAGAAACCCCCATGGCAGATCTGGACTCTCGAAGAAAGTCATCCTCACCCAGAAAGCGCATGTTCCGGTAGCTCTCCAACATCACTTCTCTGTACAAGGCCCTCTGAGCTGGGGCCAGGCATTCCCACTCCTCCTGAGAGAATTCTATGAACACATCGTTGAGTGTCAACTGTCCCTGAAAAGAAAACACATTTCAGCATGGGGAAATGGTGACAGTTCTTACCTTCACACAGAATGAGAAAAGTGGAGAGATATAAAATCAGTTCAGGAGAAGTGTTCTGACAGGTCCACATCAGATATTTTTGAGCAAGTTATGTGTCCATAATGTTGGTTTCTATTACTTTCTCATAAAAGGTTATGACTGCCCATAAATCAGGGAGGCCCTCTCATTTTGGCAAATCATACATGAAAGTACAATTAAAATTAACCATTGGGCTGTCTCTACAGAAGGGTTAGAATAGATATTATGTTCTACACAGAGTGATACTCAGTGTCTAGATGAGCCAGAGCATGAGCAGTGTCTTTAGAGAAGACAAAGTCCACAGCGTCTTTTCAAAAAATTCAGAATCATATGTTGTGATGAGGATAACAACAGCCACGACTAAAAGTTTTTGAACATGTCCTATGTGCATTAGTCTAAATGCTTTACATATTTGAACTAGTTATCAACATAATAGCTCACTGCAGTCAAGCCTGTTCACATCTCACAGAGGAGAAAACATGTCAGGGACGTTCAGAGAAACTTGCCTCAGGTAAAAATCTAAGATTTAATCCAGGAAAGACCTGAACTCAATTGCTGGTGTTTAGACTGAACCTAAAAATAAAAATTATATAATAGACTAAACCTCAGAAGTAAACTGGCAAAGCGTTGTCGGAGAAAACTTGAATCTAGTTCAAGGTTAATGACAGTGAACTCCGTAAAAGGTCATTACGTTTCCATGCACGACCATACACAGGCACATAATGCGACACTATTTTTACTTTTGGTTAAATCAGTAACATGTTTAAGAAAGAACATTAAGAACATGAAATATATTTAAGATATTTCAACTGCCAAAAAATATAAAACTTAAGAAATGATGTCTTTTAATAAAAATATATTTTATTTTTTTAAAATGTATACTTTATTAAAAACCATCCATGCATGCATGCACACAGATATAAACAAACCAATTAACTGAGAGTTGTCTCTTGACATATTTTTGGATCACTTTATAAATTATCATTTTTATTCATGTGTATTTGAGCATCCTGGGTCAATAAAAATGTAACAGTGGTACTTATTTTCATTTCTGAAGACCGTATAGTAAAGAAGGCGAGAAAAAACGTATACAAACTGAAATATAGACTACTTAGTTCTAATTTCTATAAACACTTACCGAAACATATAAATACAATTTTCTCCATTTACATTCAGACATGTAGGCTTTAACAAAAGCCAAACAGTGTTTTGGTTTATTTAACTCATAAAACGAGGATTTCAGATTTTAAGAATTATTAGTGTTATACATCAATTTGACAAATTAAGATTTCAAAAATTCTCACAATTGTGGACACTTGAAAAAAATTCTTTGATAATTAGAAATCAGAACAAAAATGAAACTGGAAAAAAACTTGTTATTAACCAGAAACATTTCACCAACCATTCTGATTACCATGAAACAGTGGGTGCATTTTCGCTGAAATTATAGTAAAGAAAGGGGGCTGACCACCGCTCCTCCCTCAGCAGAGACCAGGAGAAAAGAGGAGGAAAAAGCAGATTCAGTGAGACAAAAAGTCTAAGAGCTCAACTGTGAAAATTCACAAATCGAAGGATAGAGACCGGCTATTAGTGAAAGGAGGAAACAAGATATTCCATGCAAATCATATCCTAGAGAGCGCTGGGGTGGCTATGTTCTAAGACACAAAACAGACTCTAAGACAAAAACAAAGAATAGGCAAAGGACATTATAACTGTAAAAGAGTCCATTCACCAAAAAGTTCTAACAATTTTAGAGATGCACATAACATTAGAGCTCCCAAATATATGAGGTAAATGTTGGCAGAAAAGCAGATAGCAATAGGCACCAGCACAGTAATCGTATGAGACCTCATTATTTCAGTTTTAGCCATGGATACAACAACCAAACACAAGATACACGGAGAAACAGAACATTGATAACCTCACAGAACGATGGAGTCTAACAGACATACAGAACACTCCATCAAACACAAGAAAACACTTTTCTCAAGCATGAATAAAACTTTTCCCATGACCAATTACAGGTGAGGCACAAAACAAATATGAAAAACTGTTTACGAATTGCAATCCTAAAAAGTATCTTCTCTAACCACAAAGAAATAACTCTAGTAACAAATAGGAAACACACACACACACAAAATGTGCAGAGTAAAGAAGTCATTCTTAAACAACCAATAGTTCACAGAAATCACAAGAGAATTTTTTAAAAATCTGAATGGAAATAACAATGAAACTACAACAGACTAAAAAGTTTACAGGATGCAGTGATAGTAGCACTAAGAGGTACAAAGTGGATTTACTTACAAAAAAGAGAAAGAGCTAAAATCAGAAATCAAATTTTACACCTCAAAAAAAAGTAAACCATATTTTAGTAGAAGTAAATAAGATCAGAGCAGAAATAAGAGATTAGAAAATACATACAATCAAACTAAGACCTGTTTCTTTTTAGTCTATTAACAAATTTACAAACCCTTATGTACATTAAGAAAAGGGGGAGGATTTAAATAAATCGGAAATGAAATAGGGAGAAGTATGGCAGAGTGAGAGATGTCCCCAGAACTCTCCCCTTGTAACAATAAGGGGAACATCTAAAAGTCAACAAAAAAACACCCAACCCGCACACGAGCACGTCTGAGCAAGTACATAAGAGCTACCACAGGTCAGAACTCTGGGAGTTGGGTAGACTGGGAGAAACAAAGAAGCTGCCTCTCACAGCCAGAGCTCCTTGGAGGAGGAGGGCGAGAGGAGAAGGTATGGCGGGTAGCGACAGTGCCTAGGGATCAGTGCAGAAAGTGGAAAAGTGGGAACGGCAGAAGAGCAATAGTTGATTATAACAAGCCCCAACTGCAAAATGGGAGGCTGAGCTGCAGCCCTCATCCCCCAACCCAGAGAGCCCTTCTCTGCACATCCTCCAAGACAGAACACTGTGAAGCACTACAGGAATCTGAGCAAACGCTACCGAAACTGTCATTAATACTGACAGGGACTGAGACTGAGAGTAGTGGGCGTGAATGCATGTTTATAGGAAAAAGAAAAGGAATTATTAAGACTTTATATAAAGCAACTATCCAAGAGGCTTAGACGCCACCTACTGGAAACCAAAAGAAAAATGCCAACTTAGCAACAGGCTAAAGAGAGCTTTACATAATAAATCTTCTTGCTGGGGGGTAAAAAAAAAAAAGCAGAATACACTTCCATTAATTCCATTAATTCCCAGAGAAATAACCTATGAAACACCATGAACAACTAGTTAAGGTAGCTCAGAAAGAAAGAGAAAAATCTCTACAAAAACAAGCTTAAAGACAAAGAAATATGTGACTTAAATGACAGAGAATTCAGGATGGTGCTTTTGAAAAACTCAACGAGATCCAAAACAATTCATATCAACAACTTCAGGAATTGAAAAAACTACTAGATCAGCAGAATGAGTTCTTTAGCAAGGAGATTGAAACCCTCAAAGAGAATCAAATAGAACTTTCGGAGATGACGAACACACTACGAGATGAAAAATGAAATAGCGGGCTTGGGAAATAGAGGTGGCCAAATGGAGGAAGAGATCAGTGATATCAAAGACAGAAATCTAAAAATAAATCCAAAGGAAGAAAAGAGAAACCAGAGAATAAAAAATAATGAAAGAGAAATACAAGAACTAGCTGATACCATCAGGAGAGGAAATATGAGAATAATGGGCATTACCAAAGGGGAAGAAAAAAAGCAGGGATTAGAAACTATTTTCAGACAAAGAGTTGACGAGAATTTCCGAATCTAAAGAATGCGCTGGAGCTTGGAATTCAAGAAGTCAACAGAACATCCAATTATCTCATCCCAAAAAGGCCTTCACCAAGACACATTGTATTAAAATTATCAAAAATCAGTGATAAAGAAAGAATTCTCAGGGCAGCCAGGGAAAAGAAGACGGTAATGTATAGGAAAACCCAGTAGATTATCGTTGGATATCTCAGCACAAACCTCACAAGCCAAAATGGAGTGGAATCAAATATTCAAACTATTAAATGAAAGCAACTACCAGCCAAGAATAACGTATCCAGCAAAGCTCGCCTTTAGATATGAAAGAGAAATAAAGAGCTTTCCAGACATAAAAAAATAGAGGGCATTCTCCACTATGAGGCTTGCATTACAGGAAATACTGAAAGGGATCAGCTCACCTAAAACGAAATGACAAAAAATACAAAACAAAACATAACTATGAGTAAGGTGACTAGCAGGCAGATAGAAGCAGAGGAGTGCAACCCTTATTAAGAATGGGGCATTATAAGCTTAAACAATAAGAAGAGATTTGCTATTACAAAACAATAATAACGTTCAGCATACATAGGGACAAACTGAGACAACGATAACAGAAATAGGGAGTATTCAAAGATCCAAATTCACAAAGGGCAATGGAGATAAGGCATCCACGGAAGAAAACGGACTAATATATATATATATGTATATATATGTGTATATATATACATATATATATATATATACATACATATATACATATATATATACACATATATATATAGTGTCCCTTACATATATGTAAACTATCCTCTACATATCTGTAATGGTAACCACACACCAAAGATTTAGAACTAAAGTATATAACATAAAACAAGAAGAACCAGAGGTAAAATCCACTAAACCCAACCAAAAAATAAAAATTAAAAAATGACATACAAGGACAAGGAACCAATGGAAACACCAAGCTACCAGAAAGCAAAAGATAAAATGGCTATAGGAAAATCTAATATTTCAATAATCACCGTAAATGTAAATGGACAGAATTCACCAATAAAAAGGCATAGAGTTGTAGATTGGATCAAAAAATAAAACTCAACAATGTGCTGCCTCCAAGAGACACATCTCAGTTCCAAAGACCAACACAGACCCAAAGTGAAAGGGTGGAAAATGATATTTCAAGCCAATGG